TCGAACCGCTGAAGCGTCGACCATTTCTGGCCGGCAACTTTCAGCGTCATTAAGCCGCTTATCTAATTAATGAGATGGTAAAACTGCTAACTAACCTAAGTGTAAGCTAACAAGGCCATTCCATTCCACCAGCTTCTCAAAATAGGGCAGAAAATTTTTGGCATGCATCATATATTTGATTTGTTACCATTATTATGCTTGGTGTTGTCGTTTTTAAAAATACATTCCTGTGCACATAAGCAAACCAAACCCACTTAGAAATTGCTGCAGGAATTTCTTGGATTCCAAGACTGAATTGTATTGTTCAGTTAAAAAAAGTAATGTTGCTCCTGGTTACAGCAATTTATACCCTTATTGTATAAGCCTGCAATACTGATTTCTTTTCTGTATTTTTCCTTTTTTCAGAAAGAAAACAAAAATTGCACTGAATAGAAAATAACGTACAAATATGCATATTTATATTTTTAAAAAGTAGTGAATCAGAAGAGAGTAGTCTGTTTTGCCACTGTTTTTAATTTATGTTTCCTTTTTGATTCTGGTAGAAGTGCAGAATTTCAATATATATTTCCATTTACTCCTCTGTGATACACTGACAACTCAGTGAGGAACTGAAATCAACAGGAGTTCAAGTAATTGTAATCCAATTGCTTTGGGTTAGGATTATGTTATGATAATAGGATTTCAGTAAATGACTATCTTCTATAAACTGCTGAATTTTTTACCTACATGTTTTTTTAAAAAGCTGTACTAAAAATTTTAAATTTTGTATTTTGTAAAATGTTGTATTTTGTACATGATTTCCATATCTTATCTATAAAACAAAATATTAATACAGATATATAAGTGAGACGTGAGAAAGAATAAAGTAGAAAAACTTCCAAGAATGGCCCACATGAAATCTATAGCTTCAATTAAAATGGGGAGAAAATCAATTGCATTTTAATATGAATTGATTTAATTCTTAGACAAATTTACAGATTTGAACAGTGCATTTCTATAAATTTTACCATGCAGATCTCACCTCATAAATTGCACAGAATAGTAAATAACATACAAATATGCATATTTATAGTATATTTTTAAATAGTAGTGAATTTTTAAGGCATTAAAGAAAGACTTGATAGACCTAGTCAGTAATAATTGGATGAAACAGATTTCTGCATGGTGAATTGGATGAATAGAATTCATGCAAAACTGACATGTGCCTTATGCAGACTGATTCTTCTATCTTGAATTTTAATACACTGTAAATTTTACTGCTCAAAGATGAAGCAAGGTTCTGAATTTGAATGTATGGCATTTTCTTTCTTTCCTTGGCTCTTGCAGTTCATTTTTATTGAATCATGGCCCAATTGCTGAAACAAATTTTTGTATCTAAGAGTTTTGTTATACCATGCTAACTGTAACACTGCCATGCAACCAGGGCAGAGGGAGTTGTTGTATGTAGACCTGAATCTCTGAGGTTAATCTGCTCTGTTCTGCTGGCTTGGAGAAGGCTGTCTCATCAACAGTGTTAAAGGAATTGAAACTCTGACTGGTTTCTTTGTGCAGAAAGGGGAATACTATTTTAGACTTTGCCTCAAGCATAAAAATGCCTTGGGCTGCCCCTGCATAAGGAAATATAGCTATGCTTCAACTCATAGATTTGAGCATCATTCAGAACAAAGGTACACAAACAGAGCTCCAGAGTAGTGTGCCGTCTCCAAGAGCTTCCACATTTTTTTTAACCACAATGTATTTTTTAATGTGGCAGAAAGGGAAAAAGAAATACATGATTAATGATAGCTAATTTTCATTTAAATTTAAAAATAAAGGGAGGTATCTGAATTCTTCAGAAAACTTAGTATGACTTAACAGTCAGAAGATAAAACCAGAAATTAAATTAAATAGAAATTATTTTTCTGTTTGATCCTATTAAATATTCACTCTCAAAAAGATGAAACCAGCAACAATTTCTATAACCCCCTCCTTAATTAAATTATATGATCGCTTCTGTAAAGCAATAGCAAACGGTCCACCACAACTTGCCACTGGTCGTGCCTCCCCTAAACAAAAGCACATAGACATCTGATGGTGGGAATTTGAATTGAAATAGTTCTCATGTTCACTGTGTACATTTTCACTTTGGAAAGAAGGATGTGACTACTGATTTCCAGACGCTATGCAAAGCAACATAATTCATAATTCCGGCATGAACAACATCTTTAAAATGTTTGCTTTTTGATCCTTACAAGCTGATCGTAAGCATATTTATTGGCAAATAAGAGCTTTGATTTCATCAAGGCCTAAATTAAGCTATGTATTCAAATTCAGTCATATATAAAGTTAAACTAATGGCCCCATCTCCACCATAGAACATCCTCAGGTAGGAAGGAGCCACAGCAGAGAATGGGCAGAAAATTAGAAACCCTTAAGTAGCCTGTTGCTTTTCTCAGCAATAATTTCTCCTGCAGGGATTTAAATTCCTTATGTCCAAGAACACAAATAGGCGTGAAGCCGCTTGAATGTGAATGGGCAAAGGAGTGAGAGGGGAAACTCTATCCACTGGAAAGCATCACCTCTTAGAGAAACAAACACTGGGCATAATATTTCAGACAGCTGTACTTAACAACATGCTCTCCAAATTGTACTAGATTTATATGAATCTTCATTCATTCCACATTGTTAAGGACATCTATTTAGTAAAACTAATAATCTGAAGACAGTTATATTAGGGCTGTGACATCTGGACAGGAAAAATCCAGAAAAATTTACTTCCTTGCTACCACCTAATTATTGTCTGGATTTCTACAGCCCCATATGGTAGGCTTACTTATATAAACCTTGTGTCTTCTAATACCATATATATCTCTCTGCTACTGATTTTAAAATGGCCATCCTTGAACAAAGGACTTTCAAAGGGAAGTTCTGTCCTGAAACTCTTGAATTACAATTCATCCAGCAATTCAGTTCTATTCAGTTGGATTTAGGTAGAAACAATAATTTCATGTCGCACTATATAGGATAATTAATTTAGCATTATTGTGAAGTTTTTGTGTTACCACCTGACATGTTATTTTTTTTCAAAAGATTGTTGTGCTTATTTTGAATACATTCAAGTTCCAATTAAATTATCCCTATCTGTACTTTTTGCATTTCAGCTTCCTTTAATCTCACTATTCACAACTTACTATGCCCCATAACCAAGCAAAGGAGAATAAACCATGCATCTGATGACAAGTTGGCTAAGTGTAGAAAGACAAGGGGTTGGGATCTTCAAATAGAGCTTTGGATGATTTCTAATTGATCAGGCAAAGTAAGGACACAGAAGTCCTCCTAATATTGCAATTTTAGAAACAGCATTTTACCCTCTTGCCATCAACAGCACTGAGTAGTAATGATCAAGCCTATTAACTGCATATTGCAGTTAAATAGTAAAAATCCTTGATCCTGCTTCCAGAATTCAAAATTTAAAACCTCTAGTATCTCACGCATCTCACTGCATTTCACAAGCAAAAGAGCTGGTTAGAAAAAAGACTTTCCCTTTCCAACACAGGATGAATCACATAGACTATGATTTCACTCCTTAAACCTGCTATGTTTATTCCCCAGACCACAGAAGCAGTTTGGTAGTAAATCATGATTATCTCCAATTTTGCTCACTTGAAATTCTAAGAACAAGTGAAAATCAGAGCTACTGAGAGTTTTGCAGCAACAAAAATCCCATCTTCTCACTCTGTACAAAAGGGGGAAAAAAAGAAAAGGAAAAGTAACCTTAAAAACTCAAAGCTTTGAGCTTCCGCAGGTCCTGCTAATTTCCTGTTGAAAAGAAAGGCAAAGCTGGAAAAACATTTGTCAGTTTTATCTCTAACTAATTTTTTCTAGACTACCAAAAAGCTATAAAGTTAGTACATCCCTTACAACAGGGTTCCTCAACCTCAGCAACTTTAAGATGGGTGAACTTCAACTCCCAGAATTCTTAAAGTTGCTGAGGTTGAGGAACCCTGTCTTACAAGACTTAAAACTCCAGAACCAGGAGATAAGCCAAGAAGTCCTCATTGAACAATCCCATGCAAAAATGAGCTTTGCAGCTTTTTCATATATAATACACTGAAATAAATAGCTGGAACAAAATCAGCTCAGCTCAATATTGTGGGAGCAGAGAAGTTTGGTGTTGATTTCTAGCTGGCCTAGAAGCCCTGAGGGGACAAAATGGGCTGTTCAGAAAGGGAGATGTGGCAATCCCCAAATGAAGCCAGGTTTAAAAGGCCCCAGTTGAAGCCAGGTTTAAAAGGGTCTAAAACTCATTTAATCGGGCCACATGACTTTGCCTTCCCAGTTCAGAGAGCTCTGGAGCCTGATCATTCTTCTAGCAGATCTGGAGAAGAAGACCTGTTTGCTACAGTGCATGCGGGCAACCAACCAAGTAATTCGAAAGCAAAGTAAATAGTACAGAAATATGTGAAGAAGGGGAACAGTATGAAATAAACTTCTATAACAGGATGGGAACAGATTAGATGTATGGTGGGAGAGGTAAAACAACAAATAAAGACAAGCAATGGTGAGTTCTCCCACTGACATATAAATACAAAGGAAACAAATCTAAAAGAGAATATTGTTAATATTATTTTTTTTACAAGACCAGTTGGTGTAGTTGAACAACTACACAGCAAAAAACCATGCATGAGTGAAATTTAAGCTCTTCTAATAGTTATTTATTTCCCGTGGGCCATAATGGGAACTACAGTTTCATAAGCCAAACCCATGATTTTTTGGAGGGAGCTTGATGAATCATAGAGACAAAAAACTGACATTTGTTTGAAACAGACTCCAGCTAATGATAGGTGAAAAATTTTCTTCTATTCTCTGAAAGGGTCTGAAACCCTCATATTCTCATGTATTTGCAAATTGGTAACACAGGTATTTTAATGAAAGATGCAAAAACGGCATAAAGGTCTACACGGCAGGGTCATGGAGAAAATACGTTTTGTCCAGAGGCATGGGAAAAGTGCATTTTTCAGGGGAGGGCAGCACAAACCAAACAGGAACATTTACTTACCAGCTAAGTGGTTGGCAATCTTGGCAATGGGCTTAGGAGGCAGGGCAGGGGGCTGTTTGAGGAGGGAGTGCTGCTTCACTGGGGTGTCCTCATGGTCTCCAGAGAAAGCAGCAGATTTTTTAGGGGGGAGTAGCAAGACTGGTTTAGATGTAGGTTCTTGAGGGAGGTGGATTCCAGATTCACTGGACGTGGGACTCTCTTCAGACACTGGAGGACACAACCACAGCACAGACGCAACAAGGTTACAAGCAAAGCAGTAGCAGAAAGACAAAGGCAGCAGAGCAATGCAGATTTTAAAATGTAATTAGCCATACTTTACTCAGACGGAGTACAAAGAAAAGAGGGAGGAAGAAGGAGAAGAGAAAAACTCTCTGGAAATAGAGAAAAATTCTGGTGCTTTCACTACAGACCTACCACTAGTGCTTCCCTCACTAGCAAAGATGGAGGTGGAGATGGCTGGTGGGGTG